TTTACCATAATACTATAAGAAATGAATTGGCAGTAGTGGGATACTGCTGGGGTTGTGATGGGGCACAACATCAATAATGGTAGCTGATCTCAAATCAGGCAAGTGAGGACCAAAGGGAGGTCCAAACTTTGCCTGTGTGATGTCCACTTGTATATCTAATCCTGAATTGTACCACACATCTTTTAAATAAAATATAAGTTGAAAAAAAATTTTTGTCTTCCTAAATGCAACATATTTAAAATATTTATTACTAATTTTTCCTCCTAAATTCACACTTGTGATTTTTCTATTTCTATTGGTTGTAATATTATTTCCCTACACTTAAGAAATAATCATTCCTTAGTTATGTGCAGAAAAATGAAATTTGATCCCTATCTTCCCCATATACAAAAATTAACTCAATATGGTTTGAAGACCTAAATGTCAGACCTGAAACTATAAAAATCCTAAAGAAAACCTAGGAATAACTCTTCTGGACATTGGCCTAGGCAAAGAATTTATGGCTAAAGCCCCCAAAACAAATGCAGCAAAAACAAAAATAAATAAATGAGACTTAATTAATCTAAAAATCTTCTGCACAGCAAAAGAAATAAACAGAGCAAATAGGCAACCTATGGAATGGGAGAAGATGCTTGCAAACTATACATCTGACAAAGGTCTAATATTCAGAATCTACAGAGAACTCAAGTCAGTAAGAAAAAAGCAAATAACCCATTAAAAAGTGGGCAAATGACACGAACAGACATCTCTCAAAAGAAGGTATATAAATGGCAAAAATGCTCAACATCACTAATTATCAGGGAAATGCAAATTAAATCAACAATGAGATACCACCTTACACCAGTCAGAATGCCATTATTAAAAAATAAAAAAACAACAGCTGCTGGCATGGATGTGGAGAAGGGAAATGCTTATGCACTGTTGGTGGTAGTTCAAATTAGTACAACCTCTGTAGAAATTAGTATGGAGATTTCCCAAAGAACTAAAAGATCTACCATTGGACCCAGCAATCCCACTACTAGATGTCTACCCAAAGGAACAGAGGTTGTTATATAAAAAAGACACCTGCATCCGCATGTTCATCACAGCACAATTCATAATTGCAAAGATGTGGAATCAACCTAAATACCTATCAACCGATCAGTGGATAATGTGACAAAAAAGTGAGTATGGAATATTATTCAGCTATCAAAAGGAATGAAAAAATGACTTTTGTAGCAATTTGGATGGAATTGGAGAACATCCTAGGTGAACTAACTCAGGAACAGAAATCCAAACACCGTTCGCTCTCACTTGTAAGTGGGAGCTAAACAAAGGATCTGCAAAGGAATAGAGAATGAAATAATAGACACTGGAGACTCAGAAGGGGGAGGGGAGAAAGGAATGGAGGAAGGAAAAATCACCTATTGGGTACAATGTGCACAGGTGGGGGTGGTGAGTACACTTAAAGCAGAGACTTCTTTGCCACAATACAAAGCAACCATGTAACAAAAAACTATTTGTATCCCCTAAAGTTATTGAAATAAATAAATAAAAAAGACATAAATATCCTTATGTATCTAATAATCATTCTATTCTATCAGTTGTTCCCTAGTAAAGTTTTCTTTCTCTTCCATTTTCTGTTTACGACTGCAATTACTTGTGTTACTGGTCAGGTCCAGGACTGTTCTACTTGCACACAGTAAATTAATCACTATAACATGGGTTTTGCAAAAGAGAAAAGATTTATTCTCAAGTGCACCAAGTGAGAAGGTGGGAGAACAGTCTCAAATCTCCCTCCCTGAAGAGCAGACTTAGGGATATTTATGGATTAGGGAAATGGGGTGGTCTAAGGTATAGGAAGAGGTGATTGACAGGGGTGAAAAAGTACCAGGTTTATTCTGTGCGAGTGTAGTCAGAGTTCATGGCATTTTATAGGATGTATGTACAGAAAATGGTGATATTAGCATGATCTGAGGGTGGAGTTTTTGTCTCTCTGACTGCAAAAGGCCACCCCTTGGGCATTTGTGCAGGCCTAGTTGAAAGGTCAGTGGTCTTGACCAGTTTGAATTGAACAGGAGCTGGCCTAAGTTCCCAAAAAACAGATGAAGTGACCATTACCATGGAGACCTATGAATGTTACCTATAAAGTAGCCAATGAAAGTTAAGTTTCTGTGTTCAGTGGTGAGGCCTTCAGCTACTGTGGCCTTCAGCTTCATGAAAAAGAGGGGAAAAAAAGCTGGTGACCAAAAATAAGTAGGGCAGGCAGACATGATCAAATTAACCCCCCAGTTTCACTAATTCAGCCCTAATTATTTAATCCTTAAATTCTTTCAGTAACACTTAATAATAAGACAGGATATGGCTGTTAAAAGACAAAATTACAGCAAATTTAGTTTAAAAATCAAATTGGCTCTTATTTGTGATTATAGAATCAGGCAGCACTTTATTCTGTAAAATAGAATGAGTGTTCAGATGACTTGAGCAGAGAAGTTTGGCTTTATAGGCAGAAAAGGGTTAAAGAAAGCAGAAATGGAACAAAAGGTGAACTGGCCTGTTCAAAGATTCTTTCCTTATAGGGTTAAAGCAGAGGGGGCTTTCTTATCATGCTGGCTTAGGTAAACTGGGTCTCTTCTGATTGATTCTTGTGATTTTCCTGATTTGGGGAACCTGACCCATTTTAGAGTTCAGTTTGACTATGTGGCACTTAACATGAGTGACTTCATTCTGGTTTGGTTAGGACTCTTGGGAGGCTAGTCCAAACAATGGCCTCTCATAAACTTTGTTTATGACACAGTAAAGAGTGTAGGCTCATATTATGGTGTCACATTATCTTTGCTCGATTTTGGTTCCTCTACTTCCTAGTTTGTGACAAGGGCATGTTACTTAACTTCTCTTTGACTCAGTATTCTCACTTATAAAATAGGGATGATAATTGTGATACTGTGGTTTTATAATAGGTCATATATGTGTGTATATATATGTATGGGTGTATATACATATGTGTGTGTATGTGTGTGTGTGTGTGTGTGTGTGTGTGTGTTTTGTCCTGGTTTCCTGGTACACAGTTCCTAAGAATGATAGGAGTGTCTTTTTGAGTGCTAGTGAGATGACTGGTTGCAGTCTGGGGGGCGTGGGATGGAGGAAAGACCAAGGCATGGTTGGAGGGTTGGGACTTTCAGCCCCAACCCCAGGCCTCCAGGGAGAGGTGAAGGGCTGCAAGTTTAGATGATCAACAATGACCAGTGGTGTAACCAGTCATGCCTATGTAATGAAGCTTCCACAAAAACTTACAAGGATGGGGTTTAGGGAGCTTTCAAATAGCTGAACATATATGAAGGTTCATCAAGGTTGACATGACCAGAGAGGAAATGGAGGCTTCATATCCCTTCTTACGTTCCTTGCCTTGGGCATCTTTTCCATCTGGCTGTTCACCTGTATCCTTTGTAATATCCTTTATAGTAAATGGCTAAATGTAAGTAAAGTGTTTCTTTGAATTCTGAGTTTCTCTAGCAAATTAATTAAACTCAAGAAGTGGTTGTGGGAGCCCCCAGTTTATAACCTGTCACTAGAAGTATAGGTTACTTGTGATAGGCATCTGAAGTGGGAGCATTCTGTGAGAGAGAGTATAGTAGAGAAAATAGTAATTTTTTTTCCATTTTAATATACAAGTATTATAAAATAATACCACAAATCAATGAAGAAAGGACAAATTTTTGTAGCAGATGATGTTAGAAAATCTGACTCACTCTATGGAGAAAAATGAATCTTTACTTAAAACCATATCACAAAGGAGGCCTTCACATAGATGAAGGGCCTGGATATTAAAACAACAGCATAAAAATAATAAATCAAAACAATATCCCTAGAAACCCTGCCATAGAAGTCTTCACAGAGGTAGAACTACAAATGTATAGTCATAGAAGCTAAGTGAGGAGAGTTTTAAGAAGGAGACATCAACTAGTAAAACAATTTCAGTGAGTGTATGAACTAATAAGGAACAGATAAATCCAGCTATTAGAACAACATGTTTGATTGCTTTGGAAAGTGGTGAGGCACCGTTTGTAACACAGACATACCTGAAGGATTGTCTGCAGCATGTTGTGAGGTTTGAAATTCATGTATTTCTCTCCCTATTCATTCATAGTGCTTGCTCTGCATTCATCTATTCTTGCAGGTCACACTAGGCCCCGAGCAGTGGATACTGTTGTCACCTAGACTGATTCCTGGGTAGACAGGATCACCAACAATTTTAATTCCTAGAAGTTTATTGGGATTGTATTAGTTTCCCATTGCTGCTGTAATAAATTATTGCAAACTTAGTGACTTAAAACAACACAAATTTATTCTCTTAAAAGTTCTGGAGGCCAGAAGTCCAAAATGAGTCATATAAGGTTAAAATCAAGGTGTCAGCTGGGCTCGTTTCTGGAGGCTCTGGGGGGAATCTATCTCCTTGCTTTTTCAGCTTCTAGTGGCCTCTTGGATTCCTTGGCTTCTGGCTTGTTCCTCCATCTTCAAAGCATGTCACTTCAATCTCTGCTTCTATAGTCACAACATCTTTTCCTCTTCTGTAATCAAATCTTCTACATTTCTCTTATAAGGACATTTGTGATTACATTTAGGGCCCACTGGATAATACAAGACATTCCCCATCTCAAGATCTTTAACTTAATCACATCTTAGAAGGCCCTTTTGCCAGGCCAGAAGTTAGTATGTAAAGATATTTGGGGGGCAATTATTCAACCTATTACAGAAAGAAAAATCAGAAACCAGAAAGCAAAAGACAAAAGGGTAAGTACAGCTCATGGGGTATTTTTTGCAATGCTCATGATTTTAAGGGTCTAATGGTGGTGGTATGGGGGGAGCCCTTCATTGCAATGAGGACACAGTCCCTGTTGCTATCCCTAGGGTCTTTAGGCCAATGTGGAAATTTGGTGTAGGAAAGAAAGCAGCTCATACTGGTTGGTGTTTGATTCTGGATCTTGAACAAAAGATGATCCTCTGCAAGTTTCTGACCTCCTTTAAAAGATGTTACAGAAGTTTTTGTCACAGCACAGTGTCGCCGTCAACATGTTGTCTTTGGAAGACACTTCTTCACGGCACTTGTACTTACACCTCTGCTCTGAGTACATATGTTTCTCTCCTAAAAATGAAGAAGTCTGTAATAAGTGTTAGAAGAGATTATCTTAATTGTAATTTACTGAAACTCAGCATCTTCTTCTCTGGATCCTTGGGGTCATATTCCCAATCTCCACCTTACCTGACTTTGGACACCAAGCTCCTCAGTGGAAAGTTGGGAATTACCCCTTGCTTGCTGCCCAATGTTTATTTCTTGCCTAATCACCTAGCAGGGTTAAATGATTTTAAGTTCTTTATCCTAGGCACTAGCAAGGATGATTGTTCTTTGAAGGCATTTTTAGAATCTGCATTGGCCCCACTTACCACTGTAGTAGGATGTGGTTGAACATAACTCATCTTTTTTTGCAACGCAAGTGCCTTGGCCTGCCGTACACTTCCATTCTTTTGTCGTTGTGCAGGTATTACACCTGAGACCCATAACTGCAGGGTAGAGAGAATAGGGTATTCAGGCTGGACTGCCTGGGAATGGGAAAATGAGTTCACAGCATCAGTAAGGGGCTATAGGATAGCATAACGACTATACGGTCCACTTACTCCATTAGCTGGCATTTATAGAATTCCTGTTTAACTTAGCCTTGTGAGTTAAACTATGAGGTGGATAAACAGAATGATAAGACACAGGCTCTGTGACCTCGATAGGGTTCACTTATATTTGAGGGCAAGAAGAACATGTAAAATATTAGAGAACATCAAAGATAATGTATAGTCACATTTAAATCATGTGATGCAGATTAAGAGTATAGTAATAAGCAGATTACTGTGGGCTGGGAAAATAGGGAAATATTTTAGCCAAGGACTTGAGTTGGCTCTAGAGATATAGGTTGGACTGGGTAGGTGAGGGGATGGAAAGAGAAGGTGTTCCAGATGGGGAATCATAATGAGGAAGAACACAGAGGCATGAAAGAACCCAGGCAGGAATGAAAACGCCATGTTCAAAGTGGACTGAGATTACACCCTCTGCTGATGGCACCATCTGGCTTGGCCTGACCTTTCCCTATTTTAAGGAAATATCTGCAACCAAGCAGAGAGAGGTGATCCAGCAGTGCCTGTGACCAGGAAGTAAGAGGAGAGAAGATGCAGGATAGGGAGATGATGTTAGAGCCCTTATGGATAATTTAGATGAAAGGACCAAGTTGTGGTGATGGTGGGGGAAAGGGAACAGGTTTTTCAATCTTCATCACAGGTACTCCAAGATTATAAAATCATAATTTATATAGAGCCCAAATGAGTGCTATTGACTTATGTCAGATTTTGGGAATAGTATTGTGGTTTCTCTTAATTCTAAATTCTATTCTCACTATTCTACTAAGACTATCCTCATAAATGTTGCTAGTGAATTCCTAATGATAAATCCAGTTGCCTTTGCATAACTCTAGAGTTTATTCATTTTTCATTCATTCAGCAATGTTGAATATAGTAGTGAAAGTGGACATCCTTCCCTTTTCCTCTTGTTTAGATAGAAAGGATTACGTTAGTTGATTTTTTTAAGCATGTTCTACATTCTAGACATTGTTCTAGGTTCTGTAAATGCAAAGATAAACAAGACAAGTGTTTTTCCTTAGTCCATACATCTCGGGGAGACAGACACTGAACAAAATAACCCTATGAATAATTAAGTACAATTGTACTGTGATATCAAGGAACAGTTAAACAGGCAATGAGAACATTTAAGAGAAAAGAACTAACTTATTTTAGAGAGCCAAGGAAGACTTCCTTGGGAAGTAGAATGTAAGCTGAGGCCTGGTGATAAATAAGTCAGCCAGGTAAATGGGTGGTATGGTGTGGGCAGACTGAACACATCATTCAGAGTGAACAACAGTGCAAAGAAACTTGTCCACTGAGGAACAAAGGTGCTACTGTAACTGGGGCACAGAGGATGGAGTGAGTTGTACTATGGGACATGGCTGGGCAGGTGGGCAGAGGTTACATGCCCGAAGTCCTCACAGGCCAAATAAATTTGATTTTTATTCTATGAGCAATGAGAATCTGTTGAAGAATTTTAAGCAGGGAATGATCTGATCTATTTATATTTATCTAGTAGGTCAACATGGGACCTGAAAAGTGCAAAAGAAAAAACAATTTTACTTTTATGTTCTACTACCCATTCAAATCTTTCTAAAGCTTGTTCTCCTAGTCCTGGAGGCAATTTCAGGCAAGTTTTATAGCTTCTCTATATACTTTTAGAAAAAAAAAGTTTTGCCGTTACTTTTAGGCATAAGAATAATCTTGGTGTAGTAATTAATGTGTTGAGTCCAATGTGGTGATAATAAACTAGCTCTATTTCGTTAAAAGTCCAAGTTTCTCACCAAAACCCCCCTCTCTCTGCATACATAGCCATGCACACCACACACATGCACATACATATGCACCAACATGTAGATCAGTCTTGCTTAGATGTTTATAATGAATGGGAGTGGGTGGATTTGACATTTTTCTCTATTTGCCTGTCTTTATTTCCTCCTACTCACCCCTGGCTTAACCCAGGCTTACCCAGTCATAGTTTCTGACCCCTTTCAGTTCATGTGAGGGAGTTAGTATGAGGGAGGGAAACAGGTAAAGGACAGTAAAGATTTCACTGGACTGGCTCTAATGCCATCATCTTTGGCTATGGTCGTTATTTAAAACCACTAAGTTATCTTAGACTTAGTGGTTAGCAAAAGCTGGCTCTTTTTTTTGGGGGAACATTTGTGGGTTCTTTAGAGTTTCCCTCACAAAAACATTCCACTCTACTGCTGTATCATGGGCAGTGTATTTCCCCTAGCTGGTGGTTATATTTTCTCTTGGCTGTAGGAAGCCAGTGTTCATTTCTAGCTGGGATACCTCATTTCCTCCACAGTCCCCCTTGATTAGGATTTCAAATATCTCAAGCCTGGCTTGATTTATGTGGCATGGCCCAGACCTGATCCATGGGAATGTTTATATATTCTCTCTGCTCGCTACCAATGTAGTTCAGTTATCTCTCAGTTCTACCATTTCAGGGCTGTAGTCACAGCCTCCTTCTCACTTTTTGATTCTTCCAGTCCACTGTGCCTCCTGAACACGAGGGGATGCCACCAAGCTCTAAAAGTGATATCCTTGAAGCACCTTTCACAAGGCTTCAGGTGAGGACACCCTTTCTCTCTCTCATAGGAGTCGGGGATAGGCTGCACAGTGCATGGACAACTCTCTTCAAAGAAATTGTCTCTTTGATCTTTAATCTCTCTGTATCTCCAACTTCAACATTTTAAAAATGCACTTTGTAAAGATAGGTAGCATTTTAATGTAATTAGAAAATAAGTAATATAAAACAAATATAGTAAAAAGTTGATTTCTCATTTCTGCTACCTGGCTACCAGTTTTCATCAGCCAAATAAAGAAAATCAGTTGTATTTATTTTAAAATATGTTGCAGATTGTTTTGAAGTATTCAAGCAAATATAAATGTATACATGTACCTTTTTACCCTTTTTCATCATTGGTAGTATAATATTCGTATTCCGCACTTTGATTTTTTGGAATGATGCATATTAAGTGCATAGTATTCCACTGTAGAGGTGTACCATGCTCTAATTAACCAGTCCCTTATTTATGAACATTTAAATTTTTGCACTTTTTGATATTTTACTGCAATAAACAGTGCTAAACATATAATTTCACTTGTGTGTGAGCATATCTGTAAGATAATTTTATACAAGAAGAAATGATGAGCAACAAGTAAACACATTTGTAATTTTGATAGATATTGCCAAATTGTCCTCCAGAGGAGATGTAACGAACTTAAAGTAATTTAAACTTTTGCTACAAATGCTTGAAAAATTCTTGTCTCACTACAACTTCAATACTATAGTATGTTGTCAAACTTCTGGATGTTGCCAATCTGATAGGTGAAAAATGGTATTTCAGTGCTCTTTTAATTTATACTCTACTTAGTATGAGTGAAATTTAGTATATTTTAATAGACATTCCACTTTCTTTTTTTTTTGAGTTGGAGTCTCACTCCATCACCCAGGCTGGAGTGCAGTGGCACACTCACTGCCACCCCAGCGTTGACCTGCTGTGCTCCGATGACCTTCCGCCCCAGCCTTCCAAGAAGTTGGAACTACAGGCGTGTGCTACCATGCCCAGTTAATTTTTGATTTATTGTAGAGACAAGGTCTACAAGTTGCCCAGGCTGGTCTCAAACCTGTGGGCTCAGGCATTCTACACTCAACTTGGCCTCCCAAAGTGCTGGGATTACAGGCTGAACCACTGAACCTGGCCTCAATTTCCTCTTATGTGAACTATCTATATATTCTACCCATTTTTCTATTAGGTTGTTGGCCTTTTTCTTTTTATAAATTTTTAAAGGGGGACATTGCATACTAGGAATATTACCTATATGTCTGTGGTATGAGTTGCTTTTTTTTCTTTTTGCCATGAAAAATATTTTGATTTTTATGTGGTCAAATTTGCCAATCTTTTTTGAAAAACTCTGGATTTTGAGTCATAGTTATAAAGGTCATTCTCATTTTTAAGCTTATATATAAATTATTCTGCATTTTCTTGTAATACTTTTATGGTTTATCATTTCTTATTAAGTGTCAAAAGGAATTGAGATAGAAATATAGGGTAGAAATATAATCATATTTGCAGCACATTTCATAGGTAGAAAGCATAGGAGTTGTTCATTTATTTTTGATTAGTGATAAGGAAGAGAGATGTTTCAAGAATGACTTCCAAGTGTAGTAGGCGATTGTTGATGCAAGACTGAAACTCAGAATAATATGGCTAGATATATAAAACTGGATATTTTCAGCATATAGATTGCAACTGAAGCTGTGGAAGTTGGTAGTTGACGTGGGGAAAGTATGAGTGGATAGTATAAAGACTTGAGGAATCCCAGTGTTTAATGGTCAGGTGTAATGCAGAACTATGTAAAACACACTTAGAAGAAGGAGCAAGAGGGGAAAAGAAAACTGAGAGAGTATAGGAGAGAATAAGGGAGAAAAGTGTATCAAGAAAGTAGGAATGAAAATAGGGTAAGTATGAATGAAAATCAGTAAATATGAGGTCTGAAAATTGCTGTCTTGTTTTCCTGCAGTTAGCACATTTTCTTTTTGATTAGTATATTATATGTGATCTCTCCAATATTCAGACACTCAGGTTGTATTGAGTCTTCAGGTTTTAGTTGCAACATTTGAGTGAGACTTGGAGAGTAGAGGTTTAGAACTTAGCACCCCTAAGAAGCCTCCCTTCACCCCTATTGTTGAAACTTACCCTCTTTGAGGTAGAGAAGAGATAAGCTCATGAGGAGCAGTGTGTTCATTTTCCTCAATGGATGCTTGTTTGGGTGACAGAGTGTGTGCCGAGTGAGGCATTGGAAAGGATAGCCACTAGCTTGCTTTATAAAGCTTAGATATTGCATCACAGCCAGTAAATAGAAAGGGAGGAGTCTCTGATACCATTATGAGGTGGAACTGCCCTTTCCCCATTCCCTTCTCTTATGGAGTCATAAATCTGTACTAGTGTGGAAAGTGCAGGCTGGTGAGCAGTGTCAAGAAAGGCTTCTGGCGAAAGTTTAATTAAATTTCCAACTGCTCTCCCTTCCTCCTTCTCCTATCCTGCTTTCCACCTTTCCTGCCCCACCTTTCTCTCCTTTTTTGGGGAGGGGGGATTATAGCTCACTGCAGCCTCAAACTTCTCAGTTTAAGCGATCTTCCCACGTCAGCCTCCTGAGTAGTAGGACTACAATCTCAGCCCCTCTTTTTTTTTCTGTGTGTGTCCACATGTGTGTGTGTGTGTGAGTGTGATACTGTCAGATTTCTGGTTCCCTAGAAAATTTTTTCTGTGTACTAAACAGAAGCATGTCTGTTCATTGTTAGACAATGACTTATAAAATGGGATGATACATGAGTCTCAGAATTCAAAGGTTTTCTGAGAGAGCTTTATGTAATATGTAAGTATACTGACACAGCTTACTCCAATACTAAAACAACTTTTTAAAATATAGGGCTTGGGCAAATGTTGGTTTTTGTTCTAAGAATCCTCATTACAGTTCCCCCAGACTCCTGACTTCCAGCATCATCATCTCCATTCCTTGGAAACATCTGAAATTTCCTGTGCCTGGGAGTTTGGAATATCTAGATAGGCTCTTGGAGATTCCCAGCAAACCTCTTGGATATGAGAAGTTTAGGAATAAAGGAGGAGATACAAGAAGAGCTTCAAGGTGTCAGCAGAAGTGGTTCTTTCTGGAGCCTCTGAGGGGAGAATCTGTTTCCTTGCCTTTTCAGCTTCCAGTGGCCTCTTGTATTCCTTGGCTTATGGCTATTTCCTCCATTTTCAAAGCACATCACTCCAATCTCTGCTTTCATCATCACGTTGCTTTTTTCCCCTCTTCTGTAATCAGATCTTTTTTACTTCCCTCTTATAAGGACATTTGTGATTGCATTTAGGGCCACCAGGATAATGCAAGATAACCTCCCCAACTCAAGATCTTTAATTTAATCACATCATATTTCCTTTTGCCATATAAAGTAACATTCACAGGTTTCAGAAATTAGTATGTAAAAATCTGTGGGGTCCATTATTAAGCCTATCACATACTTATCAGATGCAAGATCATTGTACCATCCTCTTGAGTCTTTCTGTTTATCCACCTCCAACAAGATGTGTGTCTCTCTGCCTGGCCTTGCTCACCCACATTCCTATCACCACTTCATTCAGGCCATAGCAAAGATCTGCTCTTTTAAGTCTGTTGAGTTATTTGACACATGTATGTGTTGGTATTTGCCATTCCTCTTGGTGCCCTCCCCAACTTCCTTCTTCATCTAGCTAACTCTTTACTAGCTTTCAAAGTTTGTTCATCTATTCCCTCTTCAAGGACACTTTCCTTGGTCAGGTAGTTTAATTTGAAGGCCTGTCATCTAGGCCCCCTTAGCCAACTATGCTTGAAGTACTTGTGGTCTCTTTAACTATATTTTAAGTTCTGTGAGGTTGTCAACTGAGTGTCCTAGTCTAATGGAGAGTCTAGCACTTAGTAAGTGATCAGTGATGGTTCATTGAATAATTAAGTTGATAAATTAGTTAATGAATATAAATTATAGGGACAGAGACTTCAACTCAACTTTGGGGATAATTTGATAATAAATTGAACAAAGGCTACAACGGGGACCATTGAGTAGTAAGTTTTCAGTTAGAGAATTATGGTAAGCACTGTCCTGGGAATGCTATGGGGAACTCAGGTAGGGTGGCTTGGTTTTGGGTATTGTACACCCTATCTGGGCTATGGAATTTTATGACTCTGACATTAGGTAAATAGCCCAACAATCACGGCGAGAAAACAGCTAACATATCCCTCAGCTCCACATGACAAAGGTTTCAGGATATTCGTTTTGTGTCTCTGTACCTACTGGGCACAGTTACTCTACTCTGTTCATTTGGAGATAACCCCTGGAAACAGGTTGAGAGATGGCATAAAGCTGGGGGAGGGGATGCTTTTAAAAATAGGCACATAAGGAAGTAGCAATGTATGAATGTGAGATTGTAACAAGGAAGACTTTTCTTTCCAAGAGGGTTACTGGATGCCAATAAAGGCACAGGACTTGAATACACTTGGTCATTTCTGAATGTTTGGGAATAAAGAGGAATTATCTATAATGCTTCTCCTACCATTTAAGAGAACTGTATCATATTCCCTCACTACAAATATCTGAATTGCCTCCATTCTTTTAGTCCATTCTAAAGATGGCCTAATTCTCTCTCATTCCCCTCCCCTCTCCATTGCAGGGCCTTCTGGCAAAATGAGGGGTCGGTAACTTGTGATCATCGGGTGACCTTCATGTTAACTCTGACCACCTGGAAATATTTACAGCACTGTTTTTATACCTGTACAGATCCACAAAAAGCAGAATTTTTATGAATCATAAAGGAAGAGATTGATAAATTGGATTGTATCAAAATCTAGAATGCTGTTCATCATAAATAAAATTGAGATTGAGAAAGCAACTCACAGAGTGAGAGGAGATATTTTTAAGCATATGACAATCCAAATATTAGTGAAAATATAGACTGAAACTCTCACGAACTTCTTGTTGGAGTATAAATAAGAACAACCACACTTTGAATTGTTTGGCATTCACTATAAAAGGTGAACATACACATATTCCATTGCCCAGCAATTCTGCTTTTAGACACATTCCTAACACAAATATATCCGTATTTGCACCAAAAGATATGTATATTAATATACATAGTTACTTTATTAATATTAGCTCCCATCTGAAAATAACCCAAATGTCTGTTAAAAGAAAAATAGAAGTCCCAAGTTGCAGTAACTCATGCCTCAGCACATTGGGAGGCCAAGGCAGGAGGATTGCTTGAGCCCAGAAGTTTGAGACAAGCCTGGACAACATAATGAGACCTTATTTCTACAAAAACAAACAAACAAACAAACAAACAAAAAAACTAGCTTGGTGTGGTGGCCCATGCCTGTTGTCCCAGGTACTAAGGAGGCTGAGGCTTGAGTCCAGGATGTTAAGGCGGTAGTGAGCTGGTATTACACCACTGCACTCCAGCCTGGGAACAGAGTGAGAATTTATCTAAAAAGGAAAATAGATATCATATGTATGACATCTATAATTTGTATAAAATATAATGAAAGGAAATTTAACTACAGATACTGTGAATAAATCTCACATATACAATGTTAAGTAAGTGAAGAGTTACACCCCAAACACAAACTAGGTAATTTAATTTATATAAAGCTAAAAAATAGGCAAAACCGCCGGGTTCGGTGGCTCAGCCCGTAATACCGTGCCTTTGGGAGGCTGAGGTGAGTGAGTTGCCTAAGCCCGCGGGTTCGAGACCCGCCTGGGCAGCGAGACCTCAGCTCTACAATAAATCAAAAA